TGGCGTTGTGTATGATTCAGTGTTTACTTCCGTTCCGAGTTCAATTATCAATCTTGAAAACATGCATCCTGATCAAATTTTTCGAATTTTTATACTGTTTTGGACTTTATTTCGTCGAAGTACACTTTCGACACTCGTGGCATCTACCGCTCTTCCGATTTAGCTGGTGCTAAAATTTGGCTCGGGCCTGGTCAGACGTTTTCGATGGGACCAAATTGGCTCGTGCTAACTCGGCACGGCCCCGAAAAACCGTCCGTGTGAACTCTCTGGCCGAGCCAAATTTGGCGCGGGCCCAATTAGGCTCGGGCTAAAAACGTCCGTGTGAACGCGCCTTTAGTCTGTATATCTCCGGATTGCGGGTGTATACGAGGAAACGATTTCGCACGATGCTAGGCGAATGTACTCTGTACTATTTGAGCTCAAGTTGGTTGAGTTGCACGTAGTAAATCGTAGGTATTCTAAGGCTAGTAAATGACGAATTTTCCTTGTTTATTGAAGTCACACTGAGTGACACTCCTTCCCTATTATCTACTTCTGATAATATAGACTGTGTAGAGTGTCATAGCATATCTAATATAAGGTAAATGTACAGTGATTATTCTGAGGGAAAATTAGACAAAGAAGGTAATGGCCAGTTTGGGGGAAAAACGCACATGTATGATGTATTCAAAGGCGTGCCATAGGCACGCATGCGGACGCTGCAGGCTGAGGCAGGGGGAGAGAGGGAGTTCTGGGAGGGGGTCTCCCCCAGCAAAAGTTAAAAAATTTGAATGTCTTAGAATGCATTTGAACATTTTCACAATGGCGATGTTAAATTTGACAATGGCGGTGTGCCACTGTGCCTCATATGTATAAGAAACCCTGATGTATCTATATTAGTATAATATGTAGAGTGTCATTATATATCTATATATATTATGACACTCCTGATCATGATATCATACCACCAGAAGTGAATAATAATAGATATTGATATTATTATTATTAATATTAGCTATTATTATTTACTCATGATATTGTAGCCCCTGGGCTTTCAACTGCATGATCAATCAGTTAGGTTTGAGGCTGCTGCTAACTTATCTTCATTCTTGTATATCGTATCTACTATTGGTGCAGTGCCCGCCGCCCGGTGAAATTAGAAAGAGGTAACCAGTTTCTGAATTGCTCTTAATTTAGTACATCGGAAGCGTACAATTAAGTGTACAGGTTACATCTATAAAAATGTTTAACGTTAGCCGTGTATAACCCTAGGCTACTGATCCCCCCATGAAGTCACACAAGCTGGAATTATTTCATTTTGACACTTGTGCGTACTTGTACTTTGTAGGTGCACTCAATGTCAAAAATCACACTGTTCCCCATCTGTCACGTAACGTTGGTACCCAGAGATGCTCTCTCTCGCTCACGGCTAGCGAGAAGTAGTTAAGGATGGCCCAGTTTAATCAGCTTGCGAACATATATGTCATTAGTTCCGATGAAGAACTGAGCTGGAGCTGGTGTAATGACAGTTTGGCCGATTGCGTTAGCGAATGTCTGTATGTAGGCTGCATTAGATGGACTAATGGTGTACGTGCTCGCAGAGGTGTTTGCATTAGTAGCAGTAACAAAACTACTCTAGATAGGTCAGCTGAAACTCTATAGCGACGTGAATCGATGCAGTGAAAAGTCAGTGTAACGTAGTCGAAACCATCTAGTCATATTGAGCAAAACCATAGATACCGTACCACCACCCCTACACCGGTCTCAGACACAGAGTCGTATTGAGCAAAACCACAGATACCGTACAACCACCCCTACACCGGTCTCAGACACAGAGTCGTATTGAGCAAAATCACAGATACCGTCCATACAACTGTGCAACCGTTACCTTCCCCCTACTTAAACCAGCTTCAGACTACAGCAGATGCTGCGTCGCAAAAGAGCATGGTCCCAGCAGGGTCAGAGATGCGTCCTGGCGAAGCCCTGGGTGTTGGCACAACTTCTTGGGCATCTTAACCTGTGTCCAGAATTTTACTTATTTTATTTATTTATTTAAAGATGGTACATTTGTGGTACCTCACCGTCGGAAAATTTGACATCCGTTCGGACATCCAGAACGGAGAATCCTCGGACAGTGCATCTCCCTGCAGAACCATCAGGAAGTAACGAAACGTGCGGAAAGCTGCTACTGATACAGTTGATTGAGAAATTCCTTGTCTGGATGGTTCTGTTCAATAACGGAGGGGAAGGGGTGCCGAGGCAGAATGTTTGTGTTCTTTAATCAACACAGGGTATTATATATATATATATATGCTTATGGAAGCGCCTTCTGAAGTCTTCCCGTTCCGGGAATACTGAAGAGCGAAGTAATTTATTTATGTGAGTAGAATAATGGCGCGTTTATTAGCAGTTACGACGATGCTGAAAGCTCTACCATCTGCATTTTACACACCCGAAATGTGTTGTCAAAGCGGTACTTCACACTGACTTGCGTTACCGTTGGTTTGCTGTTATTGCATATCACTATCAGGGTCCCTTACCAAATCGTAAGCATTTTCGCAGAGAGCATATCTCTTGCAAAAATGGTACGCAATGAAATCATTATTGTATAATTAATATAGAATCAGGAGTGAATAATAATAGGTTGTTAGATCTATTATTATTCACGCCTGATAGAATGTATAATATTTCTATGTATATTATATCTATCTTATATGTATCTTATACACTCCCGATGAAATGTTATAACGAGAAAGCAGAAATATCGGGAGAGTGAGTACATCAAAAGTCGGGGGCGAAACGTGAGAGTACGAAACGTGGGAGTGCTCGGGCAAGCCGTTGTAAAATATAGCGAGTGCCGAGACGCAATTTTTCACGGATCTGTTTCAGCAGGTATGTCCTGTAATCCATGTTGTCATCAAAATCAGCGGACACGCACATCCTTTATTCGAATGGGCCCTTTGAAATCTGGTTTACAAATTACAGTCTCGTCATTATCTGCTATTGTGCCCATGGCTCGAGACATTTTCCTAACATCACTTACGAGCAAATAATTGACCGTCATTGCTTCGGAGAGCGTCGACTTCATATTGTATGTTTTTAGCCTGGAAGGATGTGTACCATTTGCGTAGTCATGGCAACGTGGATGCCAAGGTCTCACACCATTATTAAGGTGGTGAACAACAGTAGAGGGTGTCCATAGGCGGCAGGCCTGAATAAGCACCGAACAGAAATTAATTAAAAATACTCACACTGTTACTTCGCTTACACAACATACACTTTATTCATGTTAAATAACTACAGATTCATGCTCTATGCTCCGCTCGAAACTTTTGCCAGCTCTATGATGCGAATTTCTGCAAAATTGTCTGAACACATTTCAAACACAAAAATGACCAACCGGTCGCTGTGGCTACGCCACCTGACGGAATGTCACGAATACACAACAAGACCAATTTTACTTCTAATGCTTTCTAGACGTCCACGAGGCATCTAACTTGCGTGCATAATGCAAATTATTGCACTCTAGTGCCGAATTTCGGCGGAAAAAAAATGCCATTTCTAGAGACGAAATAGTTCAACGGTGAAAAATTTGCGTAGGCTTACTGTTGTATGACTTTGTTTGCTACGGCACAATAACCAACGCATCTCACATACAGGTGCTGTAAACGAGAAGGTATACCCACAGACTAACGGATACTAATGTATCCGTTAGTCTGTGGTATACCTCGGGAAAATAAATAAAAAGATAAAACAAAATACAAAAATTCACAGGTTATGTGAAGCGAAAATCTTTTCCCTGACGACTATTACCAGCGCAAGATATGCTGTCGATTTTGGCGAACGCATCCATTTTACTCTGTTTTGAGTCTTTACAAAAGGGGAACGTGAGAGTTAAAGCCATCTCGGCATGGAAATATAGTAAGCTGGCTTGTCAGCGCGGTGTGTGATTTACGTTCGTCGCCCAAAGCACCGCTAACTACCTGCATTGCCACTTGCATTGACAACTGCTGTTTACAGCTACGGCTTGTGTTAAAGGTCAGACCGCCCACTGGCTACGTTAAATCGATCGTTCGTGTGATCATGATCCTAACGGCTTCCTCGTGGACGTAGTCATTGCTTATGTTTATTGTTCATTCGATTTCTTGGTTGCAGTAACCGAGCTAACAACTAATGTTGGCAGTCAGTCAATGTGTATGCAAGTCGTATATATATATGAAATTGAGCATTCGGGAAAGAAAAGCAGAGGGATTAGTTTAGTATTATCAGGAGTGAATAATAATAGATTTATTATTATTCACTCCTGGTATTATCATAAATATGTGTATGATATCGTCCACGTGTACTAAGCTGTGATATGTAGCTGAGCGGGTAACTCGTTTCTTGGAAGAAGAGCGTGTTGAAGATAGATAGTCTGCTCACAACTAATAAGATAGAGAGTTCTGTGATGGGGGTAGGTAAAGGATCAGCAGGCTGTTATCAAATCTTGTTATGAAATACGGCTGATTAAAAATAAAGGTGATCAAAATTATGGCAAAAAATGTGTTAGAAGTCAGTCAAAAGCAGAAGCAAGATGAGTTTTACCTATGCAAGGTGCTGTGTGCTATGATGAAATATGACGAAGTGGCTGGGTGGATGGAATGGGTGGGTGGATGAATGGATGGATTGATGGATGGACGGACGGACGGACGGACGGACGGATGGATGGATGGATGGATGGGTGGGTGGATGGATGGATGGATGGATGGATGGATGGACGGACGGACGGACGGACGGACGGACGGACGGACGGATGGGGATGGATGGACGAATGGACGGACACACGGACGCATGGATGGATGAATGGATGGATGTGTGCTGGGTGGTAGCTCTACCGGTGTAGCCTGTAGCTGGAGCAAAGGGGCTACACTGGTAGAGCTAGGTTGGTGGGTGGATAGGCGGATAGATGGATGGATGAATGAATTGATAGCTACACTTGCCTTCGTCGTGTGTTCTGATTGTTGTCTGCCATGTTCTTGCAGGTGAAGGAACTGTTTAACAGTGTGAAGGATGCGACTATCCATGCTGGCGACCCAGGAGGAGGCACTGGCTCTGCAGCTTCCTCAACCGAGAGCCTTCCCTGTACCTCTCACTTCACCGAGGTTCTCTACACGGGCAAGGTAAGGAGAGAGAGTCCACGTGCGTGTTCAGTCACTGTTACTACTCCCCCACGTGCGTGTTCAGTCACTGTTTCTACCACCCCACGTGCGTGTTTGGTCAGGCTGTTCCTACCACCCCACGTGCGTGTTCAGTCACTGTTCCTACTCCCCCACGTGCGTATTCAGTCATGCTGTTCCTATCACCCCACGTGCGTGTTTAGTCACTTTGTTACTACCCCCCACGTGCGTGTTCATCCAGTCTGTTCCTACCACCCCACGTGCGTGTTTAGTCACTCTGTTCTTACCACCCCGCACATGCATGCCCAGTCACTCTGTTCCTACCACCCCCCCACATGCATGCCCAGTCACTCTGTTCCTACCACCCCCACATGCATGCCCAGTCACTCTGTTCCTACCACCCCCCACATGCATGCCCAGTCACTCTGTTCCTACCACCCCCCCACATGCATGCTCAGTCAGTCTGTTCCTACCACCCCACGTGCGTGTTCAGTCAGACTAATGCGTTTATGAGGTTATTAGAGGTAAGCTAGACATGTTATGAACTCACTGCACGCTACACGCACACTGCAGAGAAGGACATAGAGCATCCTCTACGCGTGGCGACGCCGGTCAAGCCAGCGGCGAGCGGCAGACGATCTCCGACGAGCTACCGGGCGCTCTGGAAGAAGGCCATCATCGAGCAGATTCTGCTCATACGCATGGAGAAGGAAAACCTCAAGCTGAAAGGTGGCGTGCGCTCATAGAGGAGCGTAGATCACACCCCACTCATGCATTGTTACAGAATCATATCAAACCTACCGTACACTGTATAAAGCCACCACATATACCAGTTGCTTTCGTTTGACTGAGGTTCTCCCCCACACAAGCTTTCTTTAGTATCCAGGGTTCTCTTCAGAAATTTCAGAAGGCATACTGGGTGATAAATAGACATTTATGCGCGATTTTTAATTGCAGTCAATTGCACATGTAAGCGACCCAAAAATATTCTAGAAATAGCTAAATTATATGAAATGTGATAGAATCAAAAGCACATACTCTATACAAAATATGTGCTCCTAATCTAATATAGTGATACTATTTGCTATTAGAGATCCTTACGTCTTTATGTGTGTGGTCGTCGTCGTTCGTGAATCACGATATAAAGTTATTTCGTCAGTTGATATAACATGTATTAGCATGCATGTATGTAGATTCCCCATATTCATCTCTTCATCCGCATTCGTGTGTCTTGAATAAATGGAGATCGTATCATTTGCAGGCACGTTTACCCGATAAGAAAGCTCCCCCTACATTCATCGACGACGCAGTTGACCGCTTCCAGCAGCACGACGTGAAGAAAGCGCGCCGCCGGATCAACAATGAGAACGACGCTGATAGGCGGCGCCACACGAGCGGTTCCAGCATCAACAGTCTGCCGGGCACTCTCGACCCACTCCACTTCAAGTAAAGTCCGTAATCTGTCTGGTGTCCATTTATTATTATTGGTCCCTGTGGTCGTTGTTTTGTCCGCTGTGACGCAACTGACGCGTGATGAAATCGTGCTGTGTGAGAGATAGTTTTTAGTGGTTGGAAACCCGTTTTCACTTCACTTTCTCTTTTCACTTTTCTTTCACTTTTCTACTTTCTCATGAGTATATAAATTAATGACAGAAGCACTGTCGTGCATTTAAATCTAATATTCACAATAATAATAATATGAAACAGTAAGGAGTCGGAGAGCTAGTTAAGTGTACAATGCAACCATTTTGGTCAAGTTCTATATCTTAGTAGTTGAGAAATCATAGAACTAATTTTACAATGGTTTTGCAGAGAAAATGAGCTAGCAGGACAAGCAGCGAGGCTAGAGCACAGCGGCACTGGAGAACCGGAGACGCCCGATGCCTTCGTTGACAAGAAGACTGGATCTGTAGACAACCTCATGGACCAGAAGTACAGAGACAAGAACCGCACTATGCTGTTTCAGATCGGCAAGCAAGAGATCTCTCTAATCTCTCCTGACAAGAAGTCCATTCTTCTGGAGAAAAAGTTTAAAGACATATCATTTTGCTCGCAGGTATGTTGTGAGAATGAATCGTGAACGTTCTCCCTTTGTCCCTGACCATTTCTCTTCCTTTTCCTGTCTATTCTCCCTTTATTCCTCTTGTCCTCCTTTGCCCCTTTACATTTTCTCTTTTCTTATATATTGATCTTAATGATTAAACTCTTAATCTGGCTCTTTATTATACTTTTTCTTGGCCGCTCTGTTCATACCTGGCTCTCTCATTTCCTTTACTTCTTCCTCTTTCCTGTTCTCTATTTTCCATGAATTGCCCTGGCACGTTTAGTGTTCCACACGTAAGCCCTTCAACAAATAGTGCTTTTGACCATTTACCCAACGAGCTGGTAGATCTGCTGGAGTTAGCTCATGCTTTTGGTATAAACAATTTTTAATATAAAATTTTATTATTTTCCAGTGTTAGAGTAGGGTAATTTTGAGTGTAGTAATATAGTATAGTTGAGTGAGAAGTAGTTTGAGTTGCATTTTGGGTATTTAAAATATAATGAAGAATGGCTCTAATGTCATTTGAATTATATTGTGAGAGAAGACAACACTGGTAAGCAGGCTTCATTGAAAAGATACAGACTGCATTCAGCAGGGATTAGTAGGCATAATTATATAATGTAATTATATTCCCTGTTTTTCTCACCAAAATATTGTTTCACTAGATGTTGGTGTTCGTTGTATTTCAGGGTTACAGACATGCTGAACACTTTGGCTTCATCTGTGGGGAATCCACTACTGACAACTACGTGTGCTACGTTTTCCGTGGGCAGAGTAGTTCCGTGGTACGACCAACAGTCTCCAATGCCATTCCTTTAGTTTTATAGTTTTAGCATATATTTCTATTAGATTCAATCTAGTGGTTATGTTAATTAACAAAGGTTCCAAGTATAAGGTTGATTTACTGTGTCACTGTGGAGATGACTTTAGTGATGTCAGTGGCTAGTTGACAATGAGACACTAGACACTAGTTGGTGTCACTGTGTAGTTTAGGTGGTTATGTCAGTGTGCCGTTGACATTGGTCAGTGATTTCAAAGTGTAGGTGTCGTCAGTGATTTCAACCTCTAGTTAAGATTAATATCTCAAAATGTCTGTGCTTAGTTGATATTAATGATAGCCATGCTCAGTGTGTAATTGATGTTAACAAAGCCCCACCCCACCCCAATGGATGTGTCTGATACTGTCCGTTTATAATGTCACCACCTCTCACCCACCTGTCGCATTCGATCGAGTAATCGTGGAATGACATCGCAGAAACTTGATGTCTCTGTCGTTGATGTCATCCTCGTTTGTGTTGCTTTGCATTGCTACAGGTTGATGAAATCATGGCCACTCTGAAACAAGCCTTCACGTGTGCCTACCAGACGAAACCAGCCAAGTATACGGTCTGTGAGCAGTGCCCCATGCAGCAGTTTCACAAGCTCTGCGTGGAGATGGAGGGTGAGCATCTATGTCTTCACATGTCAGACCAAAAACACCATCTAGTCTGCTAGCATGTACTCCTGAAACTATGAGTTTATTCGCAAATCGGAGGAGCTGTGGGGCGCATTAGACCGCCGATCTATTTCATCGTAAATGCTTTTAAAAACAAGCATCTATCACTGTAGCAACAAGTGATCTTTGCATGCTCGCAAGAGTTTCGTAGGCGTATGATTCTGCAATGTGCAAAGTTTCGTCGGTCGCAGTATAAATGGATTGGATATTGAGATTGAAACATGCAAGAATCGTACAGTATACAGTCTGCAGTGACATGCTGTGACTGCGGGAATGTGACACTGTCATTGTATGCGTCACAGGTATGCCTCCGGACAAGATATACATGACGATAATGAAGAGGCTGGAGACGATGCCAGACGAGGATCAATCCGAGATCCTTGATCAGTTAGCTGTAAGCGTGGTTAATACCTGCGCACGCTCATGCTCGCACGCTCGCACGCAAACATGCACGCATGCACGCACGCACACATTCACACATGCACACATGCAGCCTGAATGAATCGACGCGCGCCCGCAAGCACGCACGCACGCATGCACGCACACACACACACACACACACACACACACACATCTAGCCTGAATGAATCGACACACGCACGCACATGTGCACGTACGCACGCACTCACACACACACACATGCAGCCTGATTTATTTGATGCACGGACGGACGGACGTACGCACGCACGCACGCACGCACGCACGCACGCACGCACGCATGCACATATGCACTCACTCACGCACGCCCGCACCCTAGACTATACTTCTGGTTAGCAAACAGCTGATTCCTATTGAGTGTGACAGGTCTCTAATTACTTCATCACTCCCAGGGTGGTAAACATGTATGATATTTTTGGAGACACGTGGTGGCACTCAGCCAAGGTGTACCTGGAGACAATTCGAGTGCTCGCAGGATCTACTGGCAAATAAACCTGCTTGCTTGAGTCACGTGACGTAGTGTGTTGACAAGCCTTCAAAAGGATTCACGGTTTTGTGATCTTCAGTATTTAGGTCACGAAGGAAATTAGCATCAAACACGTTGTTGCAGCCTTCTCGAATCCAGCCCCTGATCAGATGTGATGATAAAATGTTGACAGCGACAATTCGGTAGCAATGTCTGGAGTATATGGAGTATTAATCCTCTTCTGCGTACGTCATTGTTATCATTTGCGTGACGAATATCAAGTGAGCTGGAAATTTTTGTCAGCACTTGACTCTCCAGTTGCAATGGGAAATAGTGGGAGAGGCTGCTCGCTGAACCGATAGTTTTTGTGTGCAAGCAGGAAGCGTAATGTGATTGAATGATGCTTTAGGAAGCCCACGGGAATGGACGGCACGAGAAAAATGACCAGCTCATGACGTTAATACGATTGCTGTGCGAACGCAAACAAAAGATTCATGTGCACTACAACGAAGGCATCTCCAAGCTAGAGGTAGGGAAATTGGATTTTGAAGGTGTGGCCACCTTGGGGATAGTTGGGTGTAGAGATAATACACTGTGTAGGTTGTGCTGGGGGTGCATTGGTGGTATTTGGGTTTGCGAGTATGTTTTATGTAAAAGGAGGAATGGAGTTATGCAGTTGTGGAACGAAGTTTCATTGCATTACAAATGTTTTGTTATTATAGTAATATTATTAGGCTATGCGTTTTAGCTAACTTAGCATAATGCCAAGAGTACAAATCCCATGAACTGCGCTTTACAGCACGTGTAAACTGCAGCTGGCTGTGTTGTTTGATGGTTGCAGTTCAGCATATTTGATAGCAAGAAGGCGGTTTCTAGCACCTTCGATCATCTTAGGAGCAAAGCAAAGAAATCAATCAATTTATCATTTGACTTTACCACCCGGATAACTGCCACCCGGACAACTGCCCCCCTAGGACAATTACCCCCCTAGGACAACTACCACCCGGATAACTGCCACCCGGACAACTACCACCCAGACAACTACGTATACCCCCCTAAGACAACTAGTACCACCCGGACGGCTACCCCCCTAGGACGATTACCCCCTAGGACAATTACCACCCAGGCAATTACCACCCGGACAATTAGCACCCACACAACTACCACACAGACAACTAGACAGAGGGCACTCACGGAGAGTGCATACCTCCGCCAGAATGTAACATGTATGTGTTACGAGCTGGCTTGCTGCGCTGGCTGGCTGGCTGGCTCGCTAACGCGCTAATATCGATCGCGCGAACACACACACACGCTAACACACGAACACACTAACACACAAACACACTAATGCACGAGAGCGATCACATAACCTCTTCCAACTCTGTTGGGCGGAGGTAATAAACGTTTTATATTAACATATGATATAGTCAGGAGTGAATAATAGATATATAGTTTATACAGATGAGTATAAGATATAGTATATTATTATTATACAGATGTTAATTAATTATAGAAAAATATGTGGACGTCCTAATAACGTTTTTGAAACGTTACTAGCGAAGGGAAAGAGGAGGGGGAGGAGAAGTGGGAGGAGGAGGGGGAGAAAAAGGGAAGGAGGAGAGAAGGAGGAGGAGTAGTTTAAAGACCGGGCGGGCTCTTCGTATGTCCTACTACTGCACTTACTAAATGATCGCACGGCCTGTTTGCCCGTTGTTATTCCGCTCCGACGCTCACGCCACCACCAACCCTCCTCCCCTCCCCCCAAACTCACGGCACCACCAACCCTCCTCCCCTCCATACACTCAAATTTTAAAATATGGTGTAGGAGTAAAAAGGATAGTCTTGTCAGTTTTAGGTGGATGGCTCCCTCTCTGTCAATCCTTCTTCCCATTCTAAGTTAGTGGATGGTCACTAAACCTTTTAAGAAGCTAAGGGTCGGGTGCTGCGATTCTGGTTTGGGGGATCCTACATATGTTTAATTGTTCAGTTCTCTGTTGTGCATTTTACATTCATCGGGTTCGTGAGTGACATAGCATCGGTGACCTGATAGATCCAGAAGCGTTTGGGTTAGCCATGTTCTCACTATATGTCCATAGCTTCTTCACTTTCTCGTTAGAGGTGCTGACATTATAGGTTTGGGGCTGATGGCTAGAGCTAAGATAGCTTCAGTTTGTGCCTGCTCTAGCGACTATTTGGAATCTGACGCTCGTACAGGCTGAGTATAATAGAGTTAGCCGAGTGAGATGTAGAGTGATTGAGCTTGATTAGCTCAAGGTAATGTAGCCATCGTTTTCGAAGATTCTAGGTTAGGGGGGGGTGGGGGGGAGAGGAGGGGGGGGGGGGGCCTCCTAGAGCTAATGATGAAGTATGTGTACGGTTGTATAACCACTATAAGATAAGTAATACTAGTGCCTACGTATTATGATGTGTTTCGAGCCTAACATCATCGCCTTATATCTACTTAACGAGCTAATGGTTTGATTATTGTAGCCCAATTTTACCTGGAGGTCGAGTCGTGCTGCTATTAATGGTTGTGGGTTTTGGATTGTACCTCTAACGCATGTCGAGTTAGATCTTGCTTAACTATCAACTAGATACATGAGTTTAAGACATAATGCAAGATATTGGGGATGCCCTTAAGCTTTAAATAAGCGCATTATCCAGTCAAAGCAGTTTCGCCTATAAGTGTATTTAACCAAAACAATTAGGTTTGGGCTACTTAGCCCCGTAATGTTACCAATTAGCTATTGTATAATGTTACCAATTAGCTATTGTATAATGTTACCAATTAGCTATTGTATAATGTTACAAATTAGTTATTGTATAATGTTGCCATCTACCCAAACCTATAATGTTAGCACCTCCCAAACCTATAATGTTAAAATGGCAACCTATCTTATAATGCTATTTAATGTAGCTAACTCATAACTTAGCCATTAGCTTAATCTAATTAGTGTTATCAGGCACAACTGACATGTAGTTAGCATCCACCCAAACCTATAATGTCAGCACCTCCCAAACCTATAATGTTAAAATGGCAACCTATCTTATAATGCTATTTAATGTAGCTAACTCATATACTTAGCATATACTTAATCTATAGTGTTATCAGTCACAACTGACATGTAGTTAGCATCCACCCAAACCTATAATGTCAGCACTCAACCTATAATGCTGTATAATGGCCACAGGCTATCTTCATAATGCTATGTAATGTAGCTAACTCATATACTTAGCATCTACTTTAAATCTATAGTGTTATCAGTCACAACTGACATGTAGTTAGCATCCACCCAAACCTATAATGTCAGCACCTCTAACCGATAATGTTAAAATGGTTGACATATAGTTAGCATCCACCCAAACCTATAATGTCAGCACCACTAACCGATAATGTTAAAATGGTTGACATATAGTAGCATCCTCCAAACCTATAATGTCAGCACCTCCCTAGCTTCTAAAATGGTTAGCACATCCCTAACTTATAATGTTAAAATGATTGACATATAGTTTAGCATCCACCCAAAACTTATAATATTGCTATCTCTCTAACTTTAAAAATGGTAAAATGTAAATGTAAAATGTAATG